TTCAGTTCAGAGTTTTATTTTAAAATAGATTCAAATAAATAAAGATAAAAGACCTCCTCTCGGTCCCTTTTGAGTCTTTTCATCTCCACCCGCCATTCCTCCACAGTTTTCCCACCGGCAGCCGCGCAGTGAGACACACCTGCAATGCGAGTGTGGCCAGTGTCGATCCTCTTGGCCTGGCCACATTGCTGCAGGTGTATTGACCTGTCTGCTGGCGGGCTTTGCTCCAGGGCGACGGCCCACCCCTTGCAGCATCAGCCTCCGCCGCCTTCCTCTTCCTGTAGGCCGTTGTCCTGGGCACACGAAGAGGAGGAGGCTGAGCAGCAGGGGCAGCCGTGAGAGGGCCAGCCGGGAGCAGTGTCTGAAGAGGAGGAGGGGGAGGAGGAGGGGGGATGTGGCCAGATGAGGCAGGTAGACCCACCCCTGAAGGTCCCGGCACCTCCGGGATGTTGTAATTGAAGGGCTGTCCTTGTCCCACCTGTACAAAGGACAGCCCTTTTGCTGGCGGGAGAGGCTGGACAGCCACAGCTACTGCAGGGACGACGCCAGTTCCCTGCAGTAGCACAGACACCCCCCTCTCTTTCTGGCGCCGAGAGAACCTGTAAGACAAACCCAGGCAGATTTTGTTACGGAAAGAGAAACCCCAGTACGGATTACAAAACCACCAACAAAGCTGCAGGTTAAACTCACCACTGGGACAGGGTCCTCTGGTTGAGCTCAAAGAGCTGTATTTCGGTCTGAGCCATCAACCTCGGGCTGGCCAGCACTGCCTCTCTAACGGCCACATAGTCCGTGAGGATGAGGGACCACCGAGTCCTCGTGAGACGGCAGAGCTGGCTGCAAATGGCCTCTACCAGGCGGCTGGCGCTGGGCCATGTTGCAGGGCCCGAGTTCAGCCCGAGAAGACAGCTGAGTCACAGAGAGGACAGTGAGGGTTAATACGCAGCAAATATTTAGTACAGGAAACAGGAATATTTGAAGCGAGTCTTACCGTTGGAGACTCTCCTTCCTAGGACAGGAGGTGTTCTTCCCCTTCGCTGTCTTGAACCGCCCCTTCAGCTGCCTCTCCCGGTGTCTGGGAGGGTAGACGACTCGTCGCCTGTCCGGCTCGGGCAGGCGTTGCCAGAGGGCCATGAGTTTGTCCACCCTCTTGTCAGAAAGCCCCTGAAGGCTCCTGGCTTCCAGCAGGGCCTTGGCCAGCTTCAGGACATGCTGGTATCCTGGCTGGCCATCAGGACCCTGCATCTCCTCCCGAGGAGAAAAGGAAGGAGGGAGGAAGAGAGAAGTGCTGCTGTGAGCAAAGAGTCTTGAATACATATTATTATTATCATTATCATTATTGATGCCCTGTGACCACCCGCCGACCTTCTTCTTGCATAGACGGCACTCCAGGTACTCAGTGGCCATGAGTTATTTTACTGTGTACTTTTTCAGTTATTCTCTGTCAAACTCCTGTGGCAGAAAATCATTTTATCTCTCATCAAATATGGCAGAAAACATTTATTATTGTACTCAGGAGGGGAGTTTGACAGAGGATTACTTTAAAAGTACACAGTAAAAGTACTTCATTGTAGGCTACTTGTGGTAGAAGTCCAACGAGTACTGAGTCCAACAGTACCAATGTCATTAAGAACTTATGGCAGAAAATAATTTTATCTCTCATCAAATATGGCAGAAAACATGCAGTTTGACAGAGGATTAAAACTGTAATCAGAGCCCTCTCATCTGAGCTCCGTTACACACACACAGGAGCGGGACATCCTCCTCAACCTGTCCGCCATAAATGCCTCAGAGGACGGATACCTGAACCGTAGCGTCCAGCTAGCTTAGCCGCTAGCTTAGCGATAAATACACACAGCGTTGTATTCTCCTCCCCCTGTCGGCCCTAAAAGCTTCAGAGTGCGGATACCTGAGCTCCGTAGCGTTCCGCTAATGTGAAACACACACACACACAGCGTTAGCGGGACATTGTCCTCCCCCTGTCGGCCCTAAAAGCTTCAGAGGGCGGATAGCTGGGCTCCGTAGCGTCCCGCTAGCTTAGCCGCTAGCTAAAGGTAAACACACACAGCAGTTCATCAGCGGTTCACAAAGTACCGTACAAACACCACGGTTAACTCAGTATGACTAATCTCGGACATAGAAGTGCGTTTGTAACAGTGTTTACACGCGTATTTGCTAATAATTAATGCACATTGTACTCACAGTGTCGCTTGGTTGAAGTCAGTCAGTGTGAAAAAACAATGGCGGACGGAGGAGAGATTGCTGAGAATTATGGAACAAATCCGCCTCACCGATTGGACGCCAAAAGCCCCAAAAGTTTGATTCTCTCTTATGGAACATATCCGGCCTCCCTATTGGGCGAGATATGGAACCAAGCCTGGACAGCCATTGGTCAGAAATTGGAACATTGGAACAGAGAAGAACAGAGGATACTGCCCATTCAGGATACTGCCCATTCTTCTCTACGAAGCAGGGGGGCAAGGAGAGGAAAGGGGGCCCAAAAAGTGAAAAAAAAAAAAAAAATGTGGGGAGCGGAAGGTCCGCGGTTCGATCCCCAGCTGTGGCAGACATGAGGAAGAGCTGAAGAGATGATGACAGCCAGCACTGACTGACACATAGTGACTCTAAAACAGGGGGTTTAAATTAAAGGGTATAAAGTATAAATATATAAATGTATATTCTGTGAAAAATTCACAAATTTCTCACAGACTGAGCAGCCAAAGGGTTTCTCTCCTGTGTGGATTTAGATCTCTTCTATGTCTAAAAGCTTTCTTACAGACTGAGCAGCTGAGTGGTTTCTTTCCAGCACTACGTCGTGGATCACTGACAGATTCTTGTCTATTTTTCAGTGACTTTGAGCCTGAGGCAGGTTCTCTGGTCTCCTTCCAATCAGCACTGTGTTCAGCGTCAGGTTCAGAAGAGTCTCCAGTGTCGTCCTCAGTCTTTGGTTGTAAACTGCTCTCTGGATCTGAGTTCGAGGAGGAGGAGGAGGAGGAGGAGGAGGAGCAGCCATGAGAGCCATCACTGACTGACACATAGTGACTCTGAAACAGGGGGTTTTGGTAAATGATGATGATTGTAATAAACTACAAATACTACGGTATACCATCTCATCATCTCTACTGTGCTTATTTATGCACCATGTTGTGTTTTATGGACCCGTGTTGCAGTGAAATATCAGACGTTGTGTAATGAATTCTAAATAAAGTTTCCACACAAAGTTCAGTTCAGAGTTTTATTTTAAAATAGAGATTCAAATAAATAAAGATAAAAGAGAATTAAAGAAAAAAGTGCTATCATTCCCCCCCACCCTCTGGGTCCCTTTTGAGTCTTTTCATCTCCTCCCGCCAGTTTTCCCACCGGCAGCCGCACAGTAAGACACACCTGCAATGCGAGTGTGGTCAGTGTTGATCCTCTTGGCCTGGCCACACTTGCTGCAGGTGTACTGACCTGTCTGCTCCCGGGCGACGGCCCGCCCCTTGCAGCATCAGCCTCCGCCGCCTTCCTCTTCCTGTAGGCTGTTGTCCTGGGCACACGAAGAGGAGGAGGCTGAGCAGCAGAGGCAGCCATGAGAGGGACATCCGGGAGCAGTGTCTGAGGAGGGGGAGGAGGAGGGGGAGGAGGAGGGGGGATGTGGCCAGATGAGGCAGGCAGACCCACCCCTGAAGGTCCCGGCACCTCCGGGATGTTGTAATTGAAGGGCTGTCCTTGTCCCACCTGTACTGCCGAGAGAACCTGTAAGACAAACCCGAGAAGACAGCTGAGTCACGGAGAGGATAGTGAGGGTTAATACGCAGCCAATATTTAGTACAGGAAACAGGAATATTTGAAGCAAGTCTTACCGTTGGAGACTCTCCTTCCCAGGACAGGAGGTGTTCTTCCCCTTCAGCTGCCTCTCCCGGTGTCTGGGAGGGTAGACGACTCGTCGCCTGTCCGGCTCGTGCAGGCGTTGCCAGAGGGCCATGAGTTCGTCCACCCTCTTGTCAGAAAGCCCCTGAAGGCTCCTGGCTTCCAGCAGGGCCTTGGCCAGCTTCAGGACATGCTGGTATCCTGGCTGGCCATCAGGACCCTGCATCTCCTCCCGAGGAGAAAAGGAAGGAGGGAGGAAGAGAGAAGTGCTGCTGTGAGCAAAGAGTCTTGAATACATATTATTATTATCATTATCATTATTGATGCCCTGTGACCACCCGCCGACCTTCTTCTTGCATAGACGGCACTCCAGGTACTCAGTGGCCATGAGTTATTTTACTGTGTACTTTTTCAGTTATTCTCTGTCAAACTCCTGTGGCAGAAAATCATTTTATCTCTCATCAAATATGGCAGAAAACATTTATTATTGTACTCAGGAGGGGAGTTTGACAGAGGATTACTTTAAAAGTACACAGTAAAAGTACTTCATTGTAGGCTACTTGTGGTAGAAGTCCAACGAGTACTGAGTCCAACAGTACCAATGTCATTAAGAACTTATGGCAGAAAATAATTTTATCTCTCATCAAATATGGCAGAAAACATGCAGTTTGACAGAGGATTAAAACTGTAATCAGAGCCCTCTCATCTGAGCTCCGTTACACACACACAGGAGCGGGACATCCTCCTCAACCTGTCCGCCATAAATGCCTCAGAGGACGGATACCTGAACCGTAGCGTCCAGCTAGCTTAGCCGCTAGCTTAGCAATAAATACACACAGCGTTGTATTCTCCTCCCCCTGTCGGCCCTAAAAGCTTCAGAGTGCGGATACCTGAGCTCCGTAGCGTTCCGCTAATGTGAAACACACACACACAGCGTTAGCGGGACATTGTCCTCCCCCTGTCGGCCCTAAAAGCTTCAGAGGGCGGATAGCTGGGCTCCGTAGCGTCCCGCTAGCTTAGCCGCTAGCTAAAGGTAAACACACACAGCAGTTCATCAGCGGTTCACAAAGTACCGTACAAACACCACGGTTAACTCAGTATGACTAATCTCGGACATAGAAGTGCGTTTGTAACAGTGTTTACACGCGTATTTGCTAATAATTAATGCACATTGTACTCACAGTGTCGCTTGGTTGAAGTCAGTCAGTGTGAAAAAACAATGGCGGACGGAGGAGAGATTGCTGAGAATTATGGAACAAATCCGCCTCACCGATTGGACGCCAAAAGCCCCAAAAGTTTGATTCTCTCTTATGGAACATATCCGGCCTCCCTATTGGGCGAGATATGGAACCAAGCCTGGACAGCCATTGGTCAGAAATTGGAACATTGGAACAGAGAAGAACAGAGGATACTGCCCATTCTTCTCTATGAAAGCAGGGGGGCAAGGAGAGGAAAGGGGGCCTAAAAATTGAAAAAATAAAATAAAAAAGTGAAAGTGGGTCTGCGGTTCGATCCCCAGCTGTGGCAGAGATGAGTAAGAGCTCCCCTCTCAGCCATGACAGCCAGCACTGACTGACACATAGTGACTCTAAAACAGGGGTTTTTGGTAAATGATGATCATTGTAATAAACTACAAAGAGTACGGTATAGTATATGTAAAGTGCTGTGAGATAACATCTGAATAAATAAAACTGATTTGATTAAAGAAAGGTTTGTACTACAGAGCTGTATTATGATGCATGTTATATTTTATATATATATGTCTGTATCATTTCATCATCTCTACTGTGCTTATTTATGCACCATGTTGTGTTTTATTGACCCGTGTTGCAGTGAAATATCAGACGTTGTGTAATGAATTATAAATAAAGTTTCCACACAAAGTTCAGTCCAGAGTTTTTATTTTAACAACAAAAATAATAACCATAATAATACAATATTTTGAAAAGAAATGTGCATAACGAGTACTTTTACTTATTGTACATTTAGCTGATAATACTTCTGTAGTTTGTTATTCTGAAATGGGTCATATTGCAGAGTACTTTCTACATTATGTACTTTAATTTATCCTGACACATTTTTACTTTTACTTAAAGGTAGGGTAGGTAAGTTTGGGAAACCGGCTCGAGATACACTTTTTGTTATATTCCATGGAATGCTCTTAACATCCCGATAGCAATGAATATCTTAAGTGCTTTGACAAAAAATCCATTAAAAAATGTCATCTGTGGAAGCCGTAGTACTGTAAAAAGTACGACCAATCATTTTAGCCGGCCCGGCTAAAATAACTGGATGGCCTACCTGCCTGTCAGCCTTCCATCTGTGCACAAACTTATCTCGTGCCCTCATTGGTCATGTGCGCATTCGCGTGTGTTGGAGGAGGGGCTCTGTAAGGAAGTGGCAGATTTTCTCCGGTTGTGTATTTTCAAATTCTAGCGATCTCGAGCCGGTTTCTCAAACTTACCTACCCTACCTTTAAGTAATATTTTAAAAACAGGGCGGTAACCCATTGAATAATATACATATGCAAGCACATGACATACAACACATTGGGCAAATAGTAAAAAACAATATCATAACTCCGTTCACAGTGTTGATGGAACATTTTAATCTGAATAAATCCCTCTTCCTCTCCTATATGCAATTACAATCAAATATTAAAAACTTAACATCAAAAGGTATAAAGATAGGTTGTCATGAACACCTTGATATGAACCTAAAAAGACTTGCAAACAAGAAAGGAATGATTTCAGGTATATATAAACTTCTCCTCACCTCAACCGCCAATACTAATCTGCAGTCACAGAAAAGATGGGAGCAGGATTTAGGCATCACCCTTACCCCAGTTGAGTGGGACAGAATCTGGTCAAACTCGACATCAATCTCCAAGTGTGTCCGGTTTAGAGTAATACAGTTAAAAATCCTTCACAGAGCATACATCACACCCTGTAGACTCAAAAAGATGGATCAAACACTCGCGGGCCTATGCTGGCATGGTTGTGCGGAAGTGGGTACCCTTTTACATTGTCTTTGGTCCTGTCCGGCTGTAAAATCTCTATGGGACGTAGTTGGAGATACTCTCGCTGAGATTCTGAACATAGAGATACTCTTAACTCCAGCTACATGCTTGCTGGGATCCCCGCTCAATGGCATAACATCAACATTTGCAAGTAAACTTATGGCGCGTTTCCACTACAGCGCGGAGCACGGTTTAAGAGGGCTGTGACGTCAGCGGCCCGTTTTTAGTTGCGTTTCCACTTGGCCTAGTACCGGCCGGCGGGTCCTAATTCACAGTTTTTCTGGCCTCATAAAATCGTGGTTCTAGGGCCAGAGACAACGAGGCTGAG